TAATCCCAGCACTTTGGGAGGCCGAGGCTGGATGATCTGTTGAAGCTGGGAGTTCATGCATGACCAGTCTGGTTAACACAGTGAGATCCTGTCTCTAAAAAAAAAAAAGCCCTTAAAACAAATTTTATTACTGTTTTTCTTCCTCCTCCTCCCTGGTTTTTATTTTTACTTATACATTTATTTTTTACAAATTTTTAAAGTCAACATCTATAATGTTAATAATGGCTGAATCACTTCTCTAGAGCCTAATCCAGGTCTTCATTCATACTTCTCAACATTATTAAGAAAACTAGTGATGGTCGGTATTTAATTTTGTTCTTTGTGGGAGCAGGGCTTACAGTTCCTTCCAGTGCACTTGGGGTCCTTTTTGTAATTAAGTGGGGATTAAAAAAAAACAGAAGCAATTGATTGATTAGCAATTTATAGTTCAGTTAGCTTTTCAAACCCATAACATACTTAAGGTATTTGTATTCTCCCTGAAGTTTCTATAGCCCTGGAAATTATTGATTTTCATTTGAACTGGAACTGAAGCATTAATCTTTATACATAGTAGTTTTAACACAGCATAAATAACAATTCTTTCTCCCCTCCTCCATAGTAAACTATAAGATGTTTAGATGAGTGTTTTTATTTATTCTTTTTGAGACAGAGTCTCACTGTGTCACCCAGGCTGGAGCACAGTAGCATGATCTTGGCTCATTGCAACCTCTGCCTCCCGGGCTCAAGTGATTCTCATGCCTCAGCCTCTGGCATAGCTGGGATCACAGGCATGTGCCACCATGCCCAGCTAATTTTTATATTTTTAGTAGAGGTGGGTTTTGCTATGTTTGCAAGCCTGGTCTCAAACTCCTGGCCTCAACTGATTTGCCCACCTCGGCCTCCCAAAGTGCTAGGATTACAGGTATGAGCCACTGTGTCTGGCCCTAAATCATTGCTTTTAAAAAGATGATAACACTTTAGATTTGGGTATAGTGGCTCACACATGTAATCCTAACACTTTGGGAGGCCAAAGCAGGAGGATTTCTTGAGCCCAGGAGTTCAAGATCAGCCTAGACAACAAAATGAGACCCTCCCCCCGACCTCTAAACAATAAAAAAGATTATAACATTTTAAAGAAGCTCGTCAGCACTACAGATCAGAGGAATGACTTGCTCATGCCACAGAGAGGTACTTTGTTTACAGCTCTGAGTTCTTACAGTAGCCCCTGTGGCAGCATTACTATGTCCAGGGGCACATTGTCCCCGAGCTGTCTCTCCCAGAACACTCAGTAAAGTGTACTAGGAGCCCAAGGAAATTCAGGAAGAAATGAAAAAGAGCTTTATAAGCACACCTGGAACAGAGAGAGGGGCACAGATTTTGTGGAAATCAGGACACTGATTCAGCCTCAAGCTTGCTTCTGAGTCACTGCGTAATCGTGAGTAAGTCCTTGGAATCTTGCGTGCTATTTCTTTGCGCCCTCTGCCATTAAAGAAGAAGTGACACCAATTAGTCAGAGTGTAAATGTCTCTAATGAAAGATGGTACATAATTCAGATTGGTGTTATTACCATTCCATTATACCATTATGCTTTTAACATTACTGAGCATTAACAACATTCTTTTTTTTTTTTTTTTTTGAGACGGAGTTTCGCTCTTGTTACCCAGGCTGGAGTGCAATGGCGCGATCTCGGCTCACCGCAACCTCCGCCTCCTGGGTTCAGGCAATTCTCCTGCCTCAGCCTCCTGAGTAGCTGGGATTACAGGCACGCGCCACCATGCCCAGCTAATTTTTTGTAGATTTAGTAGAGACGGGGTTTCACCATGTTGACCAGGATGGTCTCGATCTCTTGACCTCGTGATCCACCCACCTCGGCCTCCCAGAGTGCTGGGATTACAGGCGTGAGCCACCGCGCCCGGCAACAACATTCTTTTTATGGTCCCTCCTTTGGAACTACTGGAAGGTTGCAGACTGTAGCTGGGTTTTATATTTAAAACCTATCCAGAATATCAGCTGATAACACCAAGACCTTTTCTTCACCCACACAAAGATTTTTGCCTTGAATCATGGAATTTGTTTAATAAATTTGGTTTGCATGGTTCATTAGAGAGTCCTGGGACGTAATGGAGGGATAATTAATTGCATTGCAACCATACCAGAAGGCTTTCAGAATGTATTTCAGATGGATACTGCACAGTGAAGCAGTGTCCATCGGAAAAAGGAAGTTCCATGATCCCTAACTGGTGTTTACTCATATTTTATTGAAATAAGCAGAAATTTTTGGTTCAGAAAGAGATACAGAAGACTTCCATCTTAGAACTCTCGTTTTGTGTATGTTGTGAGATCTCAATGCACAAGCTTAGTGTAGTTTCTTCTTGCTGCCATCTCTTTCCCTATCTCCTTTCACTTGTAAAAATCCTTCCTAAATGGCCAGGTGTAGTGGCTCATGCCTGTAATCCCAGCACTTTGGGAGGCTGAGGTGGGTGAATCACGAGGTCAGGAGTTCAAGACCAGCCTGACCAAGATGGTGAAACCCCATCTCCACTAAAAATACAAAAAATTAGATGGGTGTGGTGGTGGATGCCTGTAATCCCAGCTACTTGGGAGGCTGAGGCAGAGAACTGCTTGAACCCAGGAAACTGAGGTTGCGGTGAGCCAAGATCGCATCACTGCACTCCAGCCTGGGCAACAGAGCAAGACTCTGTCTCAAAAAAAAAAAAAATCTTCCTAAATTTTGGAGTACTCTTTCCCTGAGTTTCTCAAGATCTTAAAATTCTCGTTATAGTGTCTTCTAAGTCATTGTTGTACCATAACCCAGGCAAGCAAGAGATACGATAAGCTCCTCCTATGTGCTGGGTCTGTGTTTTCAGTACTTCTCAGGGCTGCACATTAGTACAGTTTACAGTACAGTTTACTCTCCCTCTGTCTGGAAAGGTTATTTCAGCAAGTTTTCTCTCCTAGGTGTGATGCGTGAACTCCTTCACCTCCCACTGTGTTTTTCAAATTATATTTCTTTGGTGCATATTATTAGCCTTTAAATCCTTTAACAATTAGTAGATCAGAAATCCAGCCTGGTCTGTGGCAGTTCCTTTCACTTGATAGTGATTTCACTGTTTTATATATAGGATATTTCAGACATGAATACAATTAATAATAACTGCTAATACATATAGCATTCACTATTTGTCAGTTACCATTCTAAGCCCTTCATATATATTAAGTCATTTAATCCTCACAAAACCTTAGGAGTTGGGTATTACTATGATTATCCTCATTTTACAGATGAGGACATTGAAGCATGGAAAGGTCAGATAACTTGCTTGGAATCATACTGCCAGCAAGAGGTAGAGTCATCCCCAAGTCTGTGTTCTGAATATACTGTACAGTACTTAACTGTCTTTACAACCTTGATTTTTTTTTTTTTTTGTGAGACAAGGTCTTGCTCTGTTGCCTAGGCTGGAATGCAATGGCACAATTATGGCTCACTGCAGCCTAAGCCTTTTGGGCTCAAACTATCCTCCCACCTCCACCTCCTGAGTAGCTGGGACCACAAGCATGCACCATCACACCTGGCTAATTTTTAAAATTTTTTTGTAGAGACAGGGTTTCACTGTGTTTCCCAGGCTCAACCTTGAATGTTTGTTGCTGTTTTTTTTTTGTGAGGTTTCACATTTGTTATCTTCTATAGCTTCAACACATTTCTGAGGAATAGGTATTTTCCTGTTTTACATTTAGGGAAATGCACAAAGAAGTTAAGTAATTTGCCTAATGTAGGGGTATCCAATCTTTTTGGCTTCCCTGGCCCACATTGGAAGAAGAAAAATTGTCCTGGGCCACACATAAAATACATTAATGATAGCTGATGAACTAAGAAAAAACAAAAAACCTCATAATGTCTTAAGAAAGTTTATAAATTTGTATTGGGCTACATTCAAAGCCATCCTAAGCTGCATGTGACCCATGAGCTGTGGGTTGGATAAACTTGGCCTAATGCTTCCTAGTTGCTGACTTTAGCCATTAGATTGCATGATCTTCCCTTCACAAAATTATTTGTGTGCATCTTGGCCAAAAGCTTGGGGAAAAATGGCTTTTAAAAAGTGTTGCTTTGGGGAATACCTGTGTCACAGGTTCCTACTTGTTTGGTTGCAGTAGGAATTTTGATTGGCCTCCCTGCAGTTAAGACCTCTGAGTTGGTTTTCTTGCCAAGCAAGCAGTAAGTGCCTTCTGTCAAGAAAACAGAAACATGTTGTTAGCTATTTTGAACAATGTTAGAAATACATTGCAGTGGGAAGGAGCTGCCTCTGACTTCTGCCCACTTCTTGAAATATTTTAAGGCTAGCCGTTTGGAAACTTAATCAGTCTCCAGTGTAATCACAGGCAGACTGTGCTTCCCCCAAAGCTGAGATATCAGGGGCCTTGTATCAATGGACAGGTTATAGGTGGTTTTGGTTTGTTTGTTTTTAATTATCTCTGGTTCTCTGTTTGCCAGCTTATACTGCAGCTTCCAGCTGCTTTAGGTAGACTGAACCAATAATTCTCATTTTTGTAGATTCTGCTTTCTCATTTCTGTTCTGCCTGCTGTGCTGTGGTCCTCCCTAGGTTATTCATACAGTTAAGATCTTGTAATCAGTTGAGTATGTAATCAGCTGCTATCTGAGTATGCTCAGAGACAGCTTCAAATATGATTTTTTCTCTGGGAGAATTCCAGTTCTCCTCCATTTGCTTCTCTGTGTTTCTTTTCTTCCTTTTGTTCTCCAGAGCCAGTTGTACAAGTTTAAACTACTGAAATGATCAAACTAGTACCAATTATCAGCAGTATTTATTTAGAGGCTTTTTGTTTTTTAAAGAAATAGAGTCTTATTCTGTTGCCCAGGCTGGAATGCAGTAGTACAGTCTTTAGCTTACTTTAGCCTTGAATTCCTAGGCTCAAATGATCCTCCTGCCTTAGCCTTGCAAGTAGCTAGGACATGCCACCACACCTGGCTAATTTACTAAAAAAAAAAAAAAAAAAAAAAAAATTTCCCCCACAAACACTGAACTTTATTTTCATAAAAATGTCCTTTTTCTCAGTTGACCCCATCCTCTGCCACTAGAAAGCAGCTTTATTGCTAAAAAGCAATCCATTTATTTAGACATTCTCTTCTTAAGCAACTTTAAATTTTCCACCATTGTACCACCACTGTATTTTTTACTTTCAGTCTTCTCCTCAAATATTTATCCTCTCCAGTGAGAAGATCCAGTGTATCTCCCACTTTGACTATTCTGCTTTTCTTCCATAATTTTTCCTCATTCAGCCTGAGTTCCCCTTTGTAGAATGCATATTCCACTTTGTTTCTCCCAATGTCTAGGCCCATCTTCAGGACAGCATCATATCAAAAAGACTGCACTGCTTTTTCCACGGCTTTATAGTCTTTCAGTGTAGTAGGGTCATCCTCAAGCTTTGCTTCCTGCTCGCTCATCTTGTCATGATCACTTTCTTCATAAGAGTCCTCTTCATCATCTTTTTGCAGAGACTTTTTAGTAGATTTTTTAGAGCTTATATTACTTTTGAGTCATATGGAAAATGGAAAAATATATTCTGGAGATATTAAAAGCCCTGGGAGTCTCAGCGAGAAAATATGGAAAAGTGTTTTATAATTTGGTGCATGTAACTTGGTACTAGACAAATACAAGTATCGATTCCAGTAAGTACAGAGATTGTATGACAAAGTTGTCCTTCGGAGAACACCACAGAGTCCAATCCAGACGTCTGGTTTTCTTAAAATACCAGCAAGCAGCTTGACACTAGTCATAGCCATGGCGTTTATAACCTGTATGTCAGAGCCTTTCATCCCTCCCTAACCCACCTGCAGGGAGTTCACTGCCTGGGGACCCCCTTTGCCCATGCCCTTCAGCTTCAAAACAATTCAATTGCCTTTCTTTTTTTTTTTTTTTTGGTACAAAATAAAACCTTTGCTCTGAAAAAAAAAATGGTTTTTTTGTAGAGACAGAATCTCAGTGTGTTGCCCAGGCTGGTCTCAAAACTCCTCCTGGCCTCAAGCAATCCTTCTACCTCAGCCTTCCAAAGTGCTGGGATTACAGGCCCCTTTTTTTTTTGAGATGGGGGTCCCTCTGTAGCCCAGGTTGGAGTGCAGTGGTGTGATCTCAGCTTACTGCAGCCTCTGCCTCCTGGGCTCAAGCAGTCCTTTCACCTCGGCCTCCCAAGTAGCTGGGACTTACAGGCACGCACTACCATGTCTGGCTAACTTTTTGGTTCATTTTTGTTGAGATAGGGTTTGACTATGTTGCCCAGGCTGGTATCAAGCTCCTGAGCTCAAGCCATCCACCCACCTCGGTATCTCAAAGTGTTGGGATTACAGGTGTGAGTCACCATGCCTGGGCTTTTTAAAAAATTAAATCACTCCCACACAAATCTCAGGAAACAACATGGCATGTTGTGTCTTACAAAAATCACAGAAATGGGCCTGGCACAATGACTCATGCATGTAATCACAGCACTTTGGGGGGCTGAAACAGGCAGATCCCCTAAGGTTAGGAGTTCGAGATCAGCCTGGCCAACATGGTGAAACCGCATCTCTAGTAGAAATACAAATAGTAGCTGAGTGTGGTGGTGGGCACCTGTAATCCCAGCTACTTGGGAGGCCAGGGAAGAATTGCTTGAACCTGGGAGAGGTTGCAGTGAGCAGAGACTGTGCTGTTGCACTCCAGCCTGGGCGACAAGAGTGAAACTCTCTCAAAAATAAAAAATAAAAAAAATCACAAAAATGTTTTGTTAAAATTAGTAGTACTTTTACTGGCTCTTCAAAACATTTCTTTCCTATTAAATTCATCTTACAGGGTAGATAAGTGAGATAAGGGGATCCTGAAATATGGCCAGGTGTGGTGGCTTACACCTGTGTTCCCAGCACTTCGGGAGGCCAACTCGGACAGATCACTTGAGGTCAGGAGTTGCAGACCAGCCTGACCAACATGGCGAAATCCCGTGTCTACTAAAAATAAAAAAATTAGCTGGACTTGGTGGCACGCACCTGTAATCCCAGCTACTTGGGAGGCTGAGGTGGGAGAATTGCTTGAACCTTGGGAGGTGGAGGTTGCAGTTAGCTAAGATTGTGCCAGTGCACTCCAGCCTACGCAACAGAGTAAGACTCTATCTAAAAAAAACAAGATCCTGAAATATGGTAAATATTCAGTGTGTTTTAGCTGTCTTTATTATATTTGTTTCCCTTTCTGCCTTGAACTGTTGACTTCCTGTTCTTTTCTTTCTCTTAAGAGATAGAGTCCCCTGTAAAACTTGCATTTGGTAATACTGTATGTCAGAGGCACTACCTCTCCTTTTTCTTCCTACCCACCACTTCTACCACATAGGCTTGTAAAGTGCATCGCCACCAGCATAGTGTTCTAAAGCCCATCATTCCACAGCAGCTGTGTTACAATACAATGACAGGAATAGGCATTCTATGTTCAATCTGGACTCTTACATGTAACAACCCTATAAATCAAGAAATATTTCATTTGTAGAAAGAGTTCTGCTACCTAAAAAAAAAAGAGTTTGAGGCTGGGAATGGTAACTTACACCTGTAATCCCAGCACTTTGGGAGACCGAGGCAGGCAGATCAGGATGTCAGGAATTCGAGACCAGCCTAACCAACATGGTGAAACCCTATCTCTACTAAAAATACAAAAATTAGCCAGGCGTGGTGGTGTGCGCCTGTAATCCCAGCTACTCAGGAGGCTGATGCAGGAGAATTGCTCCGGGAGGTGGAGGTTGCAGTGAGCCAAGATCGCTCCACTGCACTCCAGCCTGGGTGACAGAGCAAGACTCTGTCTCAAAAAAAAATAATAATAATAAAGTTTGAAAACTGTTGCCTTGGCTGGGCGCGGTGGCTCAAGCCTGTAATCCCAGCACTTTGGGAGGCTGAGGTGGGCGGATCATGAGGTCAGGAGATTGAGGCCATCCTGGCCAACATGGTGAAACCCCGTCACTACTAAAAATACAAAAAAATTAGCTGGGAGTGGTGGCATGCGCCTGCAGTCCCAGCTACTCGGGAGGCTGACGCAGGAGAATTGCTTGAATCCAGGAGGTGGAGGTTGCAGTGAGCTGAGATCATGCACTCTAGCCTGGCGCCTGGCAACAAAGCAAGACTCTGTCTCAAAAAAAAAAAAGAAAATTGTTACCTTAAATCTTGGACCTGACAGTGTTGAATTATTTTTAGTTTGTGGGCAGTTATAAGGAAAAGTAAACCAATGTTGTTTAAATATTTGAACTTGTTAGAAATGAACAAAAAGAATCCATGATAGTTGATTTTTCTTTTTTACGCTTAAACTTTAAAATACTGCATTTCCTCACCTCTTCAGATTATCCAGCTAGGAGTTAGGTTATTTTTATCTCAGACCCAAGGGAGAATGGCCTGGATAAAGTGCTCCTGGACATCTCCCAGTGATTGAAGTTACATGCATAATATAGGACATCTGCTCATAGCCCAGCATGTAAGATTTTGGTATTGAACTTTCCAGTCTAAGAATATCCTGCAGATGAGATGTAGAGATAGAGAAAGAGGAAAAAAAAAAAAAAAAAAAAAAAAAATAAAAAAAAAAAAAAACTTTTTAAAAAAAAAAAAAAAAAAAAAAAAAGAAAAGAATATCTTAAGGCCAGGGAGCAGTAAGATGCACAGTAATGAGTCAGTATGGGGAATCAGAATTTATTTCTATTATCTTATCAGGGTTATTATATTAACAGTGCATCAGGATTGTACATTGCTCAATTTTTGTTTGCTTTCATGTAATAAAGGAAATGGTTGGTTCTAATGAGCCATTGTGTTCTGTTCTCTTACTTAATCGGTCCCACTTTTTCTACCCTAAAATTTAGTTCCAGCAGAAGTGTGGCTTCCAATTGTTCTATGGAGGTACCTTCAGGGACCACTTCTGGAAAAGGCAGCTGAAGGCAGAACAGGCAGAAGGAGTTCAGCTAGAGCAGATCTGACTTATCTGTTCTAAATAAGATTTTATTTGAAAATATGGTTTAAAACTTACTGTAGTAGAATATGTACAAATGTGTTGACTGGTTGCCCTCATGGGCTAAACTGGAACTTGGATCTCACATTCTTTGGATGAGGAATGAGATTGTATTACTGTTCAGAGTTAATCAGCATTCCAGAGGCTGTAGGCTCTATTTTGCATTGAAGCTTACTACCTTGAAAGAACTGATGTTTTTTGTTTTTTGTGTTTTTTTTGGAGACAGAGTTTTGTTCTTGTTGACCAGGCTGGAGTGCAGTGGTACAATCTCAGCTCACTGCAGCCTCTGCCTCCGCCTCCTGGGTTCAAGTGATACTTCTGCCTCAGTCTCCCGAGTAGCTGGGATTACAGGTGTCTGTCACCACGCCCAGCTAATTTTTTGTATTTTTAGTAGAGACAGCGTTTCATGATGTTGGCCAGGCTGTTCTTGAACTCCTGACCTCAGGTGATCCACCCACCTGGGCCTCCCAGAGTGCTGGGATTACAGGCGTGAGTCACAGTGCCTGGCTGACGGCATTCCTTTCTAAGAGGAATCCTCAGCAGAGAAACTGGATTGTCCTCTATGGAAAAAAGCACAAAAAAGGGACACTTTGAAGAAATTCAAAAGAAAAGAACCTGCTGAGCAGTCAAATTCCAGAGGGCCGTAACTGGTGCATCTCTTGCTAATATAATGGCCAAGGAGAATAAGAAACCTGAAGTTAAAAAGGCTTAATGGGAACAGCTAGCAGGGCTGCTAAGGAAGCAAAAAAGGCAAAGTTAGCATCTAAAAAGACCGCAACGGTTGCTTCTAAGGCACCCATAAAGGCAGCATCTACACAAAAGATTGTGAAGCCTGTGAACGTGTCAGCTCCCCAGTTGGTGGAAAACACCAGGTTGACAGATCAGATTCTTAAAGATTGAACTATAAAAAAGTATAAATTATATTACCTAATATTTGAATAATGTATTTTATTTTTTCAGAGGACACATGGTAGGTTATATTGTGCTTTAGAGCCTCTTCTATAAATACATACAGTAATTAAAACAAAAAACACCAAATACTCAACTTACGCAAAGCTTAATTGATAAATTATTAAGACAATGTCAGAATCTATTGCAATCATTAAATCTTAAGGTGCTTTCAGAATCCATAGGTGAAAAGAAAGGTTTAATGTAGCATAGTGCTAAGTTTTGCATTACTCATATTTTCTTCTAGCGTTGTTAATATCTGGCATTCATTTCTTAACCCTAAGGTCTTCTGGCTATAAAAAGGCTGTGGGAGTTTTTTGCCTCTGAGGCTTTTAAAAATATATATTGCATTTTCAATTAAGTCAGATTTAGAATATAGGAGTAACACAGAGAAAGTAAACATTTAAACAATTTCAGAGTGTTTCCTACTTAAGACTCTGGAACCAGACTGCTTAGGTTTGGATCTCTGCTCTGTACTTAACAGATGTGTGATATTGGGCCGTTTGTTTTTGTGTGTGTGGTGTATAGTGCATATGAGAGAATGATAGGAAACAAGAATGGGGCCAGGTGCAGTGACTCACGCCTATAATTTCAGCACTTTGGAAGGCCAAAGCAGGCAGATTACTTGAGGTCAGGAGTTCAAGACCAGCCTGGCCAACATGGTAAAACCCCGTCTCTATTAAAAATACAAAAATTAGCCTTGCATGGTGGTGCACATCTGTAATCCGAGCTACTCAGGAGGCTGAGGCAGGAGAATCACTTGAACCCAAGAAATGGAGGTTACAGTGAGCCGAGTGCCACTCCACTCCAGCCTGGGCAACAGAGCAAGACTCCATCTGGAAAAAAGAAATGAGTGGAAAGGTAGGCATAATCAAGACGGTAAATAGTCTTG